TAGACAGATTAGGAACACCACCCCATTCTTTCTGGTGCATTTTTATTTATTTTAGGGGTGTTATGGTGTTTTAAAATGTAAATATATTTATTAAAGAAATTTTTTACCCCATTTAATTATTAATTAAATTAAACTTTATCTCCACCATAATATATGTGTGTTGTGTGTGTGTGTGTGGCACCATTTATCTTCCTCTAAGTAATCAATTGATACAAGTTGTGTACAATTTAATCACATGTCACCCTACCTCATGTCGGTATCTTGTGTTAACAAAGGTAAAACTGTTTTTGGGGAGTGACATTGCAAGATTATCATTGAAGATATCATAGATCTCATGGCAACTGAAACTGGGTTCTCACTCGTCTTTGTATCGCGCAAGGGTAACTATGCTGCTGATGTTTTTGGTTGTAATTGCTATTAAGGAAGTGGATCCGGTTGGATATGTGGAAACACCAGCACCTCCTTTGTCTCTTTTGCTAGCTACAGATGTTATGGATTCTAAGTTGGCTTTGTTTGCCTTATGAATTCTAAGGGTAATATTGTATGTTGAACTGATTTTTCTTTGGCTGCTTGCCGTTTTTAATAGAAGTTCCTTTGGCCAAAAAAAAAAGAAAAAAAAATAACATGTCACCAACACGAAAATAAAAAGAAAAATCAATAGCACATGTATTTTGGGGAATTAAGTTAAAATTAAATAAATGTTGGAAAAACATGCAATAATTACTAAAAATTCCTTTAAAATATTTCTTAGCCTTAGAATCATAAATATATTCTACTTATTCCAAAATAGACAAAAATAATTGCTAAAAAATCTAATTTAAGGTGGTAATAATATATAAAAATCATGAAATATTAAGATGATAATAGGTTAGGCCCTTTTCGACATGCAGTCTGGCCAATTTATAAAGAGGCTATGCCAAAGATACTACAAGCCTAGCATGTTTAGGTAAAATTATATATTTTATTTAATTTTATTTGATTTATAGTGTATAATTATCATTCTTATATGTTCTACAGAAGCTATAGAGTTATCTACCTCACTTTTGGTATATAGTTATCATTATTTTTCTATCTACATAGATTTATTTTCTTTATAAAATTTAATTATCTGTCTTATTTTTCTGTTCGTTATCTAACAAAATTCTTGGGTGCATTAGTACTTGTATATAATAATTCTTTTCGAAAATACCTGTCACCCCACCATTATGAACCTTGATTTCACTCCTTAGTATATATTGTAATGTGAGATTTTAAATGAATGTAGCGTGATTAACGTGATTTTTTTTATTCCAACGATTTGAATCTAACTTTTGATATTTGATAATATTGTAATACCAGAAGTGTCGTCTATGAGTATCTATTTTCATAAAACAGCATGAATTTTTTATTGGCAAAGAGATACTAAATCAGCATTAATTTGAGAAGCACTTGATTTTAAAATTTGCTTGAACTGCACCATTTAAAAAAATATATATTAATCTTGCATATATCAATGCGTTCGCCCAAACTGAAAATCAACCGCGTGCTCATTAGTGATGATTTGGTCTTTTGTTTTATCTCAAAATGATATTTGATGTCCAATTGAATTTTAGATATTTTTAATATTATATTTATTAAAATAAAAATTACAAAAAAATTAATATTAAATTTAGACTGTCTTCGATGCTCATCAAGTATTCATCACCCATGATCAAATCTTGACCATTCAAAATTAAAAGCTCTTTAATTTTATTTTTTAATTTTACAAATTGATTATTTGAATGTACTTCGTACAGTACATATATAATATGGATAATCTGATTTAATAGTAAATTCTTTATAATTTTTATAAATTAACTATCTAGATATATTCTAAACAGTATGGATTTAATATTAACTTTTCTATAATTTTTATTTTAATAAAAATAATATTAAAAATAACTAAAAATGAATTTAAAATGAACGGCGCAAATCTGTTAAAATAAAAGAAAGTTAAAATATTTTGTTTATTTTAAAATGAATGGCACAAATCTTTTTAAGATGAAATGAAGGGCAATATCAGCCTCTTAAGCTGAGCGATGTTGATGACCAATGAATGCGATCACATATATCAATAAAAGAAAAATAAACACTTTAATTTAGACTAAAAATTATTTTCAGAAATATATGGTAAAATTGTCAAACTAAAGCATTCTGAACAAACCATAAACGGAAGGACGTCAACAACCTTGAAAGGTAATAAATTGAATCGCATGATTTGGAAAGGCACATGTGACTGATTCTCTGTATGTGCCGTTATATTGATGAGTTCAACATCCCGACGCTTGTTTCATTTAACGCTAACTGAAATAAATATAGCATAAATTTTCACACGACCAAAGATCAACCTCTTCAAGATTTTGAGCCTTCACTCTTTACTGGATCTTCCACCATGCATCCAGTGAAAACTCAAATGCCCACACCATTGAATTCACATTTTTTCTCTGCTTTTGGAAATACTTTTTTGCATCACTATCTGTTTTATAGCATTATAAAATAAATCATTATTGTCTGAGATCCAAACTTGATCTTGTAATGTTTAGTTGTTCACGTATTTCTTTCATTCTTTGTGTATATTATTATAGATGTTTTCTTAACTTTTAATTTGAACCTTTTATAAGTTCAGACTTATATGGAATAGCCCAAATTGAGCTCGACCCGCCCAAATTATGGGCTCTGCAAGAAGCAACCAAGTTGATGCACATATTAATCACCTGATGACACAATTGTACAAGTAATTAAAACTAATAATAATTAGTTCACAAATCAAACTAGACTAGCATGTAAGTGGAGCTCTAATAAGCTAAATGATAGTGAAATCTTTATCTTTCTTTTTGACCAAAATCATTTTTGATTAAAAGTAATAATTTAGTTGTAAGCTTATAGGGAATTATTTAATTTTTTTTTAGAGATCGAAGTCTTTTTTTTTTTCATAAGTGAACAAGTTATATCTCGTACAAAAGAAATTTTCTACTTTTACTGTTAATAACAATGTTTTGCTTGAGGAATTCAAAGAATCAAGAAGCCAGACTAGACTAGGAATTATTCTATTTAACTTCTTTAAATCGTTTTACACACATATACACTTCAGTTATTAGGCATGATTAGTGACAATGTAAAATTCTGAATGACTTCCATGATTAAAATGTTGTTTCAACTGTTTTTCCATGACACATATGATACGAACTTCATCCCATATTTTACATTTTACATTTAAATTGCTAAATTTTGTAAGAATTATTAAGTCATAATTATTCTAAATATTGGAAGATGTTAAAAAATAAAACTACATATATGGATACGTCTCTTAAACCAATGAGTCATCTTCTCTCTCAATTTACTCCGACACAGTAGCTTTCGCAATTCCTATGTCAATCATGGTACTGGTGGCGAACCACAAATTACCATATCCACCCCTATATATAGGACCATTCTATTTAATTTATTAGCATTTAAAGGTTTTATTTTTTATTTATTCTAATTGGATTTTATGAATTTTTTATTATATAATTATATTCATTGCTGGTATGACTAGATTGTCCAAATTTAATATTACATTTTTATATTTTTATAAATTGACTATCTATATTTTTTTTTAATAATTCACTATCTAGATTTACTCTAATTTGTCCAAATTTAACGTTAATTTTTTTATAATTTTTGATAAATTTTTATTTTGGTAGTTACAATATTAAAAATAAAGATAATTTCTTTACTGGCTCTTCCCAAATTTTTTTTAATTATAAGTTAAAAGCTTTGAATCTGAGCAATACAGAATATATCTTTCTTTATTGTCAATTTTAAAAAATTGATATTAAATTTGGATCGATTAAATTAAATATGAAATGAGTAATTAACAAATTTCTTAAAAAACTTATAAATTTTTATTTTAATAAAAATAAAATCCTTTAATTATGGACTAGATTATATCAGTGGTCATTACCTTTAAGCTTTCATGAGAACCGGCTGTGCTCCTTTCCTTTCACTGGCCACCTGCTCGCCCTTTTTCTCTCTATAAATTCTTACTTTCCATCATCACCATTTCATATGTGTACTGGCAGTCACCTCTCGTCTGCGTTTACCTTTTTTATAGTTTACCCACAAAAGAAAAGTTGATCGGTTCGTTCCTGATAATGCTGAAGTAAACTAATCGATGTGGTCCCCACCAGGGACAGATCCAGAACATAACACATGGGGGCTAAAGTGAAAACATTCATGGAAGTGGGGTGGGCCAAAATTATATTTTTCATTTAAAAAAAAGAAAAAAAATTTATCTAAAAAAATGTTTTAGAGTGGGGCAAGCACGCTTGCATGCCTCCCTCAGATCCATCCCTAGTCCCCACGCTCTCTATGCGCGGCTTATTTTCATACTTGCTACTTGCTTTTTAGCTAAAACCATTTTCCTATAAACATTATTTTGATTCTTTCTTACAATTTTTTCCATTTTCCTATAAATGACAGTGACTGGCCCAAAACATCGTCATCATCCACAAAAAATCAACATTCTTAGTTCAAATTAACTTTACAACCCTAGCTAGCGCCTTGTTTTCCTCCTTGTACCTCTCCATGGACGAGATGTGATATAAATATTGGACTCACTCACTTAGTCATCTCACTTCAACTTCAAATGCTTACTTGCTTAGTAACTTTCATGAACGAATTACATGTACATCCCATAATTATTGACAAGTAACTTATGCCTTTAAATGACTTTTCCTTTTGTACAAAAACACAGCTTTTGAGGACATATTAACCTTTTTCCTTCTTTGTGTTGAAGAGAAGTCTAATAGATCATAGATATTTGTACTTAACGTATAAAAAAAAAAAAGATATTTGTACTTTGAATGGGATCCAAGTTTTTTTTTCCTTAGAAAAAAACTCCCCATGTTAGTTGTTATCATAAATGCTGTTTTGGATTTAAGAGAAATTAAATAGAATGAATTGTTCACTACCAAAGGAAAAAAAATCTAATCGCTGCCAAAAGTCCAAAAGTCATCGTCGCTATAACAATTATCGCTAACAGTTTTTGGTGGCGACAAACATATGTCACTACCAAAAGTTTTTTACATATAAAAGTCTACTTCTTGTTGCAACCAAAAAGACTTTTACTTTTTTTAAAAAATAATAATTTATTTTATACTACGTTACTTCACCACGTGTGCATCACGTGATGCCATGTCACCTGCCATGTATGTGATAAATAATCCCACATCACATGCCATCTTGCGCCATGCCATAGGTCACACATTCGACAGATGATGCTACATCATCCCACCATCTCATGCCATGTCATACGCCATATGTGCACCTCCTCAAGCCACCTCATGTGTCACACCCCTACTTCGTGCCATATCACTTGCCATGTGTGTGCCTTCTCAAGTCACCTCATGCATCATGTCACCAACACACGTGTACGTCACCCACCACATGTATGCCTCCTCAAGCTACCTTATGCACAACGTTACCACCACGTGCTATGTCACGTATTTGTTGCAAAATATGCCAAAATCAAGATTTGAACCCTACACCTCCTACCTCCAAGCTTTAAGCCTCTCTTCTTTGCCTGTTGAACTAAAATATATTTGCAATTATTATATATAAAATTAAATATATGTTATTTAACTGCATGCACATATATCAAATAATATATTATTAAAAAGATATACATATATTTTATTTTATTTTCAATTATTAATATGAAAAAATAATTTATATGAATATTTAAATTATATTTTAATAAAATATTATTTTTTACTAGTAAATATTATTTTTGTAAGGAAAAGGAACTTAAAAATAAAAAATTTTTAAATATTAAGTAATATTATTATATACATTGTAACCAAATTTTAAATTTTATTTTTATTTTTTAAATGAAAATTATTAAGCATATAGTTTATTTATAAATATTATTATATTAGTTTATGTTAAATATCTTTTACTTTCTTCTCCATATTTTTCTCAGAACTTGATAATCTAAATGATTAAATTTTTATCTTCTCCCAAAATAGCTAAATGTTTCCCCCTCTTTCATTTAAAATATATTTTATCTGCAATATTTAATATCTTAAAAAAAGTATTTTAATAAAAAATTAATTCCAACAGCATAAATTTTTTTAATAGTCATTTTAAATAATTTTGAATTTTTAATTAATACTAATAACTTTTACAATACCAAATAATTACAAGGATCCCATATGTGATCAATTTAGTTAACATCCAATCATTCTCTATCTCATGGCAAGGTGAATTTGAATAAGTATTCATATTATTCATAGTAATAATTAGTTATAAGAATGTTATTAGTAATTTCTTTTTTTATAACAATGGAAATATAAATACACTAGGTGAAATCACATGAAATTCTTGTTCAAAAACCATTACAGCTCAATAAAAGAAGTAGACACCATGTGTATATCAAGCTAAATATCAAGTGTGTAATATGCTAATTAGTCTATAATATCATTTACATCTCATGATATGTGCACAACTTTAATGTCCCAATGACATTTATGTGTTTATATATAAGTAATAATTTATGTATAACTTAATATAATGATAATTGAAAGTAACAACCCATCAAGATTTAATTTATTATATTGAAATACTAGCTTAATAACATAATTCTTAAAAAAATATATGCTATATATGTCTAAAACAAGATTATGAATAATACAAAATTAAAAATAATTTAATAATTAAACTAAGCATATCTTCACTATTATTCTTTTCCACGATCCTATATATCATTTATTTCTAATTCTGTATATACAATAAGAAATTTAATTTCATAAATATCTTTTGAATGATTTTATTCACTTTTAAATTTTTAAAATAATTCATAAGTAATTTTTTAATAATTTAAATGATAATTTTATAAATTATTTCACATGACTTAAAATTATATTTAATTTTTTAAAAATACTTTTTTGGAGACAAATGTTGTCACCAAAAATAATTATATAAATTATTTTTATTTTTTAAATTATCTTTCATAAAAATACTTTTAGCAGTGACACTTTTGGTGGTGACAATTAAATTTTGCCCTTAAAAGTAAACTTTTAGCAATGATATATCAAAGTCACTATCAAAAGTTAAATTTAATAGTTGCCGTCAAAAGTATATATTTGGTGGTGATTTTTGGTGACGACTTTAATTTGTTGCTGCTAATGTTAACTTTTAATGATGACTTTTTGTATTGTAGCTAAAAATTGCCATCAAAAGTCACTTTTTTTTTTAGTGGTTATCTAAATTTTATGATATCATTTTAATATGTGTGTGTACAACACGTGGGATTAATAAATAAAGCTAATCTTGTTGGTACAACATGTGGGACTAATAAACTGATGGATTTCTTTGTGGCTGTCAAATTTATTTAGGATTACAACATCATCCTTAACTTATTCAATAAAATTATATCAATTCAATCAAATAAAATTTAAAGTAATATGAACGAGGAATAACATGTAAGATTAAATGAATTTGACATGATATGGTTTTATTGGATAGTACAAATGAGTGGTCCATTGTACTCATGCAAGAATTTTTATAGGAGTCACGAGAAACATATAAATTTTAATTTTAATATTTTTGTAACTCAAATCACAAGAAATATAAAAAAAGAAAATAAAAACAAAAGGGTTTACAAGGCAAAGATTTAAGCGGATGGCATTGAAAGGACAAACGAGAAGAACAATGGCACAGGGTATTGGGACAAAAGCGAATAATGCGTGTGTATCCAAAACAAAGCACTATTTGGACTGCCTGATTAAATCTGAAGAGTCAAGTTTAAAGGTTTTATTTTTTATTTTATTATAAAATTTATTAAAAAATTTTAAAAAATTCAATCAATTTGTTCAATCAATTTAGACAGTACAAATTTAATCTTAATAATGTGAATTTAAAAAAAATTAATCAATTTGCTTGATTAGCACTCCGGGCAGCTAAAATTCAATGCAGATGATCTATATTTAATCTAATTTTTTTATAATTCTTGTAAATTGACATTTCAAATATACTTTGGACATATAGTGCATATTTAAAAATTTTAAATTATAATTTTTTAAAAAAATATTTTTTGAAACATACATGTTACATATTTTAATTATATCTAGATAATCAATTTATAAAAATATGCACCATCCATGTGCAAAGGAAAAAATCTCTATTTACATATTCGGTGTAAAAAAATTCAAACAATTTTAATAATACAACTCATATCACATGCAGTAAGTGTAATAAGTGCAGTGGAAAAAACCAACCACTTTTGTTTGATTTTCATTATTGATTCTTCCCCCAAATAAACCTACAGATGCTTGACTGCTTCATTTGCAATCGGCTGGGGATAGGGCTTCAAAGACCGTGAGAATCAGAAAAGAGTTAAGGGTTTTTTAAGATTTTTAAACAATAAAATTAAAATATTGAAATATTTTTAAGAATCCAATCACAAGAAATATAAAAAAAATAAGAAAATAAAAACAGAAGGGTTTATAAGCCAAAGATTTAAATGGACTGGATCAAAGGAAAAACAAAGAACAATAGCACAGATTATTAGGACAAAGACATATATATATATATATATAGGTATATATGTATTTATGTAGGTATGTATATCCAAAATAGAGCACTATTAACCACGAAAACAGAAGGAAAAAAAATACTGAAAAAGGAGAAACAGTGATATTAAATATGAACCTTTTTAGCCTGGAGAAGATTCCAACTGGTATGTTCTTGAGAATCTAAGGTAGCATCTGGAAGTACAAAACATAAACAGCTCAAAGATGGGAATTAAAAAAGTTGAAACTGCTCAAAGGGATACAATTAAAACAAAAAGGGATACATATAACTAAATGAGGTTCCTCCTATATATCGAGTTAGGTATTCTTAGATACGCAAAGTAATTGCTTCTTATGCCACTTTTCTTACTCTCGCATGCATATTATTTTACTTTAAAAATGGCTGTTACTTACAATTAATATATCAACTAATACATTGCACTATGAATAGAAAAATAGAAAAAATTAAAAGACATACCTAGGAGACGAAAATTGTATAATATATCCACAAATGTGATGCAATGTGCTATTATGAATGTGTGAGCACCTGAAAGGGAAGCCCCAGCAATATTAATTCAAACCATGTGAGTGATGATATGTGGAAATAATTGTTTGTTACTTAGTCTTTTCTTGTCCTATTGAATTGATTGCAAGCTAGATTACTTGAGAAAAGGGCCTGTTCATTAGTCTTGAGTTGATTGCTAAATTATTTGACCAATAAAGCTGCCATATATTATGATTAGTCGTTTCTGGGGTATTGAGTAAAAATAAAAGAAATATATAGAGATATAACTTACCAAAGAGAGCAAGGATATCAGTAACGTTGAGGTCCTGATCAGCGAAGGCAACTAAAGAAAATCATCTAATAAAAGTAAATTATCTAAGAGAAAAAGTAAAAATTATCTAATTTTAGCTTACTATTTGATAGGATATACAAAGAAAACAACAAAAGAATAAGAGGGGAGGGCCTAAAGAAGATGTGGTTGGACCTGTAATGGTACTCCAAGACACTAATTAGAAACTGAGAGGATGTCATTTTGAAACGTTTTTGTCTTGGCAACATTATAATGAGAAGCACATATCAGGCAATGAAAATAGAGGAGGCTGCACAGAATTGCATGAGGAAGAAATTCAAGTATTAAACCCTTTTCTTGGGGTGTGAAGCTATCATGCTTAAGATCAAAATTGAGGTATGTAGGACCTATTTGAAACTATTTTTGTTTTATCATTTTGAGAACTGCTATTTTTAGAACATGTTTTGAGAATAAAAAAAATAATAAAAGTAAATATTTTTCTCATTCTCCCTTGATCTCTAGAACAATGATCCCATAACAGTTAAAATATGTTTTCATTTATTTGTTCTCCAGAACAATATTTTAATTTTTTATCCTTCAAAACACTTTTTGAAAATACGTTACTAAACAGATTTTTTTTTTGTTTTTTTTTTGTTCTAGAGAACAGAAAATTATTCACAGAATAGGTTATGAAATGGGCCGGTAATTTGTCCACTTGAGCCTACAACATTTAACAAAAAACTATTAATCGCAAATTGGTCCTTAAGAGTGCACATATGGAGCCATAAAAACATTCCTTTTGACTTCACATATTATTTGTTAGAGGTACTGGGACCTTATTTCTAGAGTATTCCCTTTCTTTGTCATGTGATGCGGGCAAATGGATATGAAATTATCACCTTTGCCTGATGAGATACACAAACGATGGAGATACCTATGATAATGCAGTCATGTTAGTTGACTAAACTTGATAAGTTAATTATATTCAAGTAAAACATAGTTATAGGATAAATAACTCAATTGATAATGTGGTAAGCTGATTTTTCAAGAGAAGTTGATTCAAGTCTTCCTATTATATCATCATTGAATTCTCCATACCCACAACATCCTTTTACTTCACAAAATCTTTTTCTCTGAATGATTTATCATAGGCTAGTAAAATTATTTGTTAGAGAGGAGTTAACTGCGGTGGCAATGGGGGCTGTGGAAGTTTTGGCGGGGGAAGATTTGGCGAGGGAAGCTGAAAAGGCAAGAGATAGTTAATAAAAAATAATAAAAAATAAAATACTTAATAAAATGCATGAAATATTTGATAAAACATACTGCAACTCTAACTATACTCACAAGTCTCTTGAGCCACACGATAAAAGCACGAACAGCTTTAGACACAGTCTTGACCTTGTAAGTAAGGAATGGGATGAGTGCCTCTGGTAATTTTACATCTTCTACCACCACTTTCACTTGATATTGTTGCATTTTCTTATGGTGGATGATTTATCCCAAAGTTAGAACATTACCAAGAGCGACCAAGCATCTATCAGAATCTTCTAGATATATAGCTCACATAGTTCACTGGTTTTTCCTAGTGAAGTACCCTCTGACATGCATATAAGAACTTACTCCCTTTTGTGTTGTGAAATTCAGGAGATTGTATATGAGGTGCATTGGCAGTTGTCTCCTGTCATAAGGTCATAAAGTCCATCATTTTATCTTTCGTTTTTGCAAGCTGGGCTTCCAAGTAGGCTTTTTAAAAATGAGGTCATAAGGGCTAACAGAACTACCGTTAGCAATCAGTGTTTTATATAAAATTCCTTTTTAAAAATCATTTTCCAACATGTGAGAAAATTATCACTTTCATGATATAGTTTTTATTCTCAAAATCAAACTCGCATGGATACTTTTAAGCATTAAAACTTGTTAGAATCAAATTTCATATCTGGTGCTAATGATTGCATTTATTGAATAAAAAAAATTTCAACGTCGAACTCGTATGAATCATTCTCTATATCATTCCAATATTTGATAAAATGAAAATCTCATAATCAAAGTTCAAACTTGACTTAATTGATCAAATAACATTTCAAATTTGGTAAAGCTAATATCTCAAAATAAAGAAATGTTAATCAACAAATATCCGATAATCATATTAATGCATTTAAAATGATTTCCAGAAAAATGTAATATTTTAGTAAAGAAAATTTGGATAAAAAAATTAATAAAAATCAGTTGGGACGCTATTTACTTACCTGTAGTATCCTCAAGGCTCCAAACTCATTTCTTATGACTCTATTTGAGCTTCCCTTCTTCCAAACATCCAATAATATATAATAATAATATTTTAATGGACTTTATTTATTTATTTATTTATTTTTTTAAACCAACAAGATCCCATTTCAAGAGAACTCATTCAACTAAAGTTAACAATAATAATTTTGAAGTTCTAAGAACACAATTCATTCATAAAGATTTCTTCTTAGGCTTTTTACCAAACATTTAATGTGCAACATTTCAAACCATTCAATAAAACATGAAACCTTTAATTCTATTGGCTATCCATTTCCAAGCATCCAAGTATAACTTCTAAAATGATAATGTACTTTATAACCTTTCAATTTTGCAACTCTTAATAATCCAAAACTCAAATAAGACCTCAACAACTTCTTAAATAAACTCCTTTGCAAGAACTCAATTAGATTTACAAACAACAATGTCCAAATATGACCATTCAAGTTGCCAATTTCTTACATAATTCTTTAGCCATACCAACCTATTTACTTGAGATAAAATTTTCTCTTAAGCTTTGCATCAAACACTTTAGGTACATTATATTCAGCCATACAAATAGAATTTTCTAACCTTCCATCTTTTATCCAGTAATTATAAATTACCATACTATCCTCAAGAATTTAAGTAGTTACATGCAAATTCGTAATCCAATTTTTTTGACTTACAACCTACAAGTTAAATTCATGAATTAATAGCACCCAAACTAAATATACTTCTCACAATGATTAATGAAACTTCAGAAACATAAAAATCGAGCAAGACTCTCTTAAAGGCAACTTATTAAACACATTATAAGCATGAGTCCTTTGACAAATTCCAAACTTCTTTTTTTTTCAAATTTTATTTCCCAAATTTTCTAATATCTATAATTGAAATAATCCAGCTCTCCAATTTAAATCCTTCAATAATTATAAATTTTTAATACTCAAGAAAAATCAAATTTTCAGCCTTGCACATTACTCACAGTTTGCAGAAAAATGGAGAAAAATTCACAATCTCAGCCCAAAATGGTTTGCATGCAGCAACAAGGTAGCAATACTCACAGCTTTAGCCATAAACCACCTATGTACAAATAGACAGATCAAGCAAGGAAGCAAGAGGTGAGATTTACTCACCTGATCAGTTGAAACAAATGAAAGGCAGAGCTTAAAGCTCCAGCAGTACACACAGATCAGCAGATTCAGAACCATATGGAGAAGAAAGTGTCACCGCGTGAATATGAGGAAGGAGAACAGAGGCAGTCGACATCGAAACAGGGGAGGGAAAAGTCTGACGCACCCAACATCCACACCATAAAGGTTACGCACTAGATTATTGCTGCTGCTCGAAGAGGAAACAGGAACCCGACGTCTGAACAGAGAAGATGAAGACTTGATGTTGATGGCTGGAATTCACACACCTATCGACGGTGAACTGACTGACGGAAAAGGAAGCCTCACGATGATTGACGAAAAGAAGAAAGGGGAAAGAGGAGGAGCTTGGACGCTCAACAGGGGAACCTTGGTTTAGCGATCTGCGCCTCAACGCAGGGTTTTCCAGCGGACGTTACAGCAGCAGCGAGCAGAGCTCCTGCTCTCGTCGACGGCTAGGTTCGCTGGCCTCAGTCTCAATGAAGGAGGAAGAAGAAGAGAGAAGATCGAAGGAGTTGCTGTCTGAATCTCCCTCTCATACTCGCTGGTTCTAGATTTTCGAAGAACAGAGGGAAATTTTTCTTTCTCGCGTGATCTGACTGAGAGAAAAGAGAATAAAAGCTTGAATCATTTGAAATTGCAAAAATTACAAAAGAGGCACAACACTTTTCTCTAATAACATAAAAGTCATAAGTAATTTGGTAATTTTTTTTAGGGTCATTACATAATATGTTTTGAATGCTCTGGTTTGCCTATAGCAACCACCAAGATATCCTTTCCACCCTTTGGAGCAAAAGATCCTTGAGCTTGTTGTGCCTTAAGGTAATGTTTAGGAGCTTTTTTAAAGATGAAACGAAATGGAATGGGATGGCTAGAAGCCTTATGCCATTGTTTGAAAGAAAATTTTAAAAGAGGATGGAATGGCTTGGGGTGGCCTTTCAAGCCATCCCTTGCTATCCTAAACCCCTTTTTCTTGGCCCCCCAATTTGGAGGGTCAAGAATGGAATGATATGATATAAATAATATTTTTATAAAATTACCCTTATCTTTCTCACTCCCTCTAACTCTTTCACTTCCCCTTACCTTAAAATTAAAAAAATATAATTATATCTTATTTAAATCTATTAATTTTATAATTATTCTTAAATAATAATTTGATGAAATCATTTATTCTTTTAATGAAACTCCCAAACAAATGCACTCCATTCCACTCCACCACATTCCATTCCATTAATGACCATTACTTTCTATTCCATCATATATTCTCAAACATACCTTAAGAGACTACTCTAACAAACAAAACAAAAATCATAACCAAAAATATGAACAATTGAATAAAAATATGATTTTGCATTGTGATTAGGTGTCTCTTGTTAAAAAAAAAAGCATTACTAACAAGATTTTTATTACTGATTATTAGTAAGAATAATATGAAAAATTATTCAATGTTGTCTTGTTGTTATGAGTTAGACAATGATTAAAGGATAGCTAGATTTTTTACCAAAAAAAAAAAGAGAGCTAGATTAATCACATATGGGATCCTTATAATTATTTTGTATGGTAAAAGTTATTAGTATCCATTAAAAATTTATAATGGTTCAAAATGACTATTAATTAACAAAATTTATATGGATAAAATTAATTCTTTTTTATTAAAATACTAATTTTTGATAGTTTAAAAATTTACATAAAATTTATTTTTAAGAAAAGAAGGGTAAACTTTTATCCATTTAGGAGAATATAAAATTTAATCATTATTTATTAATTTAAGAGAAATATATGGAGAATATAAAAGTAAAAGATATTTAACATAAACTAAAATAATACACATTAATAATTAAATTATATACTTAATATTTTATTAAAAATATAATAAAAATAGTTATATAGATAATTTTATCATATTAATAATTGAAAATGAAATATAATATATGTATATCTTTCTTTTCATTTTTTGTGCACTTCTCGTGCAATTTCTATGCAATTTTTATACAATCTCTGTGCAATATTTATTTTATTTTTTGTATAAATTCAATTTTTACTATAAAGAAGCAAATAAATTTGATTGAATCAACAATTTGTCTACACTTGAGAACCACAAATAATCCTTAATGAAGTAAGGGAAATAGAAAATAAATTTTTATATAGCTAGTAGCTGAACAATTATCAGTAGAGATTCATTAGAGAGAAACTTGTGTATGAATATGTTAAAAATCTACAATTTTCAAACAAGTGGAGACACTACTTTGAGGATTAGCTATTAAAAATGACAACATTTTCAAAAGCAAAAGTGCATAAAAATCTTGTTAAAAGATGTTAATCGACGGCAAACATGAGAACCATCTTGTTGAAAAAATAAAAAAGAACTTCATATATCATCGTTTCCATCTTAGAATGCTACTTGACAGTAATAAAGTGAACTTCTTCATTGGTGTAAAATGACAAATGGGGTCCACAGTTAGTAATAAGCATTTTTCACAAAGTGGTGAGCTTGCCAGAAAAAGACAAAAAAATTTATAAAAATAAATGAAGGACAATTTTGGTAATGCAGACAATAAATTTTTATGCACTCATCGCAAATTTCAATATTTGGTGAATAGAAAAAAATTTCATGATTATTTGTAAGATTTCAAGAGGAGAGGCAAAGAGCCAGATGCTAGGCAGCCCCACAATTGACTGGCCAATCATTTTAAGTGTCACCCACCCCCCGCTCCTTCACTAGTCCTTTGTTCTTTCTCCTTTTTTACTCTTCCTCTCACCCTATCTCTTCTCTCCTGCAGCTCTGCCTTTAGCATTTCAAACCTCTTCTCTTTTGTAATTTTATACGCCTTTAGCATCCATGCTTCCTCCATTCAACATTCAGCTCTGCTTGCGCGATGGACAAATGATAAGAATGTCATGTGATTTTGCATAGTGTTTAAGTTTCCATTGTTAAAAAAAAAAATTACTAACAAAATTTTTATGATAGATTATTACTAAGAATAACATGAACAACTATTCAAATATGCTTTGTTGTTATGAGGTAAAGAATGATTAATGGTTAGCTAGATTAATCACATATTAGATCTTGTAATTATTTTCTATTGTAAAAATTATTAGTAACCATTAAAAACTAATAATGTTCAAATTGAACGTTAACAAAATTTGTATGGTTAAAATTAATTCTTTTTGTTAAAATACTTTTTTAGATAGTTTAAAAATTGTACATAAAATTATTTTTAAGAAAAGATGGGGAAACATTTTACCAGTTTAGGAGAAGATACAAATTTAATTAATTATTTATTAATTTTTGAGAAAAATATTGTGAAGATAAAGGTAAAACATATTTAACAAAAACTAAAATAATACATGTTTAT